AAGAGAGTAACATGAAGTGACAATGTAATCATACATATAGTCCACCAAGTGGATGGTTAGCTCTATCCTGTGGCAGTTATGGGACTGTGAGGAGACATGGGTGGAGTTAGGGAAGGATGACTTGTTCCCTTTTCTCCAGAAGTTCAAATGGTGACAGGTGGTTGGAAATTCCCGGGGTAAAGGCTAAGCCAAAAGTCTGGCCACCTCATAGCATCTGAATTCAAACCAGAGTTGACCTCTCACCTCTGTCACTGGATGTGTGTATTGGAGCAAAGCCCTTCGCTCCTCGAGTCATGGTCTCCTCATCTGTAACATGGACAGCAGGGAGGGGATCCCCACCGTAAGGGCTGTTGTGATGGTTAGTAGTGTGACGCATGTCATGTGCCTAGCTCAGTGCTTGCACTCAGGAGATGTGCTAGCATCACGATGATTGGGAACGGAACTCTGGGTAACGTAAGAAGTAGCCTACGGTATTGTATGTTTTCCTAAAGCCAACATGTATTTAACACCTAGATGTGCTAGACATTTTCTTAAAGGCAGTAAGCTTGTAGCTTTGACCTCAAGGAGCTGGGGCATGCCAGGAGAGTCACAGGGAAACAGTACCCGTGGGCAGCATGATGAGTGGGGTAGCAAGTACGTAAACGTGGTATTCTGGAAACACAGGCTCTTTCTCCACCAACTGCGTTTTTCTAAGCGCACTCCAGGTTCCAGACACTGTTCTAGGTGCTGAAGGATCAAAAATGAATATGATCCCTGTTTTGAAGCAGTCCCTAACCTGACAGAAAATTACAGCCAAGTATTTGATAGCTAGAATGTGTTATAAGAGCTCACACTACACATGAGTGCAAGGAAGGGTGTGGTCAGATTTTCCTGGAGATAGGAAAACTTTCTGGAGGCAAACCTGAGCTGACTCTTGATGCAAGCAACACCCCAGGGAGAAATGAGAGGACTGTGGGGGAAGAGCTTTCTGGGTGGGTACAGAAGCCTGCAAGACCACATGGTGTCAGAGAAGGATCATGAGCCACTGAAGAGATGGAAGGTGCAGATGGGAAGACATAGTAGATCAGCTTGCGGGTGTCCTGTATGAGCCACCCGTACCAGAGAGCTCTTGAGCTCATCCTTCAGGCAATGGGAAATGGGAAAGAATTTAAGCCCATCCTCAGTTACATCCAAAGCCTGGATAATCTTATAAAGTCTGTCTGAGACCTTCCTCTCTGTTTTCAAATCCTTGTAAAAAGAAAAAAACTACCATCTGGTCCGGCAGAAAACCAAAAGCTGCAAGGGGAAGCCAAGCATCGTCAGCAGACTGACAATGCCCCGAGCAAACTTGGCCACACATAATAAGACTCACAAACAAAGTGTTGCTTGAACTTGTCCTTGGCATTAGGACACCTCAGGGAAACCACCCAGTGGACTCATTCTCTTCTGTCCCTGCTTCTTCCTCTTCTTTCACACCCTAGTTTCTTCCTTTGCTTTGCTGCCTTTTTTTTTTTTTAAATATCCCAGCTAATTGCAGGAAATTTGCTCTGTTTCGAATCTGGAAAGTCATAAAGGAAACCACTCAATTAAACTGAACTCTAAGTGTAAGTCTCAGGACCTAACTCTCCTCCTTCTTCCGCCCCTGCCCTTTGGGGTATTGGGGTCATCATTTGGAGGTACTGTTGATCTCAGGCATGTGAGGATGTACACACTTTGTATCTGCCCACCCCTGCTGAAGCCCACTCCTGGGTGAGCCCAGGCTGCCTGCTTGTCCTGCAGGCTGGATGGTCCAGACCAGGAGATGTGGAGGAGGGCATGGCTTGGCTCAGCCAAGCGTCCCCATCTGACCTCTTGCTCTTTTTCTGTCCCCAAAGGAAAGGTGGAGCTTTCCTGCCCGCAGAACTTAATTTCCTTTTCCCGTCCTTTACAACACTGCATTCCTGTCCTACCTCCTGGGGAGACTGGGTCTTGGTGTTTCGTGTGGACAACCCTCCACAGAATCCCTTTTTTCTCAAAACCAAGGGCTTTGATGGGCCTCCAAGGAAAGGTACAAGTTGAAAAGCTAGAGGTCGTCCCCTCCTCTGCTAGTACCATTTCTCAGTGTATTTCTCACTCCCTTGCTTCCCCCGGGGTGAGACTCAGATCCTGGCAGGACCCCTAGGAGCCTGCCACAGTGGGAGCATCTCCATCACCTGCGTTCTCCCTGATCAGACCCAGGGAGCCCCTCCCTCTTCCAACCACTTTCAGACACAAAGGAAGCACAGCACCCCAGTGTCAAACTGCTTCGGCCATGGCTGTCCAGAGGGACCAGGTGACACAACCCAGAAGTGGGGGGAGTCATGCCCAGTGGGATTTACCTGAACCAAAAACAGAAAGGAGACCATAGGGAGCGGGCAAATATATTCTTCCTCCCTCCTACCGATCATCCCCAAAGTCAACTGCTGGGTGCGCCCTGCTAGAGATGTCTCACATCAGCAAGAAACTGGCTGTATTCTACCATGAAGCTGTGACCAACTCTTTAACCAGTATTCACTTTCCTCCTTCTCTGCCTCAATTGTCTTTTTCCCTCTTTTTTATAACCCTACCATTCCACCTCCCAAAGAGGCATTAGCAGGTAAGTTTTGCCCCAGACTGTTTTCTAGGGAACCTACTACCAGCAGCCCACTGACCTCAGAATAATGCTCTGGACCCATTAATTTGGTTGCTTTGTTCCTGGGTTGGCCTGGGCAGGTTTATATCCACCTCTGTCCAACATACTCTAAAACCCCAAAAGAAGGGCATTGCTTGTTTCTTCCTTGGAGAAGTTCAGGTCTACAGATCTCTGGAAAACATTTAGTCAGAAGGACAGCCAAACAGCACAGCACTGTTTTCAAGAGTGGGGACGAGAAGAAGTTTAGATTTAGAAATCATCTAAATTTGCAAAAAACAGAGAGTGATTTTTTTAAATGGTACATTTTTACAATGAAACACTAGATAGACATTGAAAATTATGTTATAGGCATATTTATTGACATAAAAACTTATTCATGATGTGTCAATTGAAAAAAAATCCAAGTACAGCATGATCTCAATTTTGCGAGAAAAAAAATACATATATCTGTGATTTAAAAAATTGGGGGGTTATGTGCCAAATGCAAACAGAAAGTGTCCTTTGGTGGTAAGATTGAGTTATCCATTATTCTTTATATGTAACAGTTTTTTAATTTTTTTCCTCTAAGAAATACGTATTAATTGTGATTTTTTTTAATTTAAAAGGAAAAATATATCTTGGGCCAGTTGCTCAAAAAAGCCTGTTGCTCAAAAATGCACATTCTGCCAGTAAAATATGCTGTAACTTTAGAAAGAAAATGAGATGAAGACCCCAGAGAGACTCCAGAAGACTAATGATAACAGATAAGTTTTCATAGTCTTTTATTTTTGGTGAAAATTATTAAGAGGATATGGTTTGTAATTTTTCCAATGATACACAAGTTGAAGCATAAAGATACTATGTCTATATCTCTAACAGGAGAAAAGGTATGGTATTGCCCTTGTAACTATCTTCCCTGAGGCAGCTCATAAAGTACACCCATGTATTCCATTACTTTATTATAATCGTTGTATTATTCTTTAAAACATGTGTTGCTCCTTGAATAAGGAGCATAATTTTTTGTATGCATTTTAGTTCTTGAGATTTTTTTCTAAAGATTTATTTATTTATTTGAGAGTGAAAGAGTGTGCACACACAGGGGAGGAGCAGAGAGAAACTCGAGCACACGGTGCTGAGGGAGCCCAACATGGGGCTTGATCCCAGGATCCTGAGATCATGCCCCAAGCCGAAACCAAAAGTTGGAGGCTTAACCCCTGTGCCACCCAGGTGCCCCTAGTTCCTGAGAATTTTTAAGAATAAGCCATTGCATTTGCACGGAGTGGGGCAAATGGTGGGCAGTCCATATAGTACACCAAGCTTTGTCCATTTTTTAGAAACTATGCTGGGTCGTGGGGAATCCAAAGTTAAAGGCATGTATTCTTCCCTCACTGAATTGGTAGGGGGCAAGGACAAGTGAAGTGATGTCCGTGGTTGGCCATGGCAGGCACGCTGTGGCCAGAACTCTATGGGTCATAGAAGAGCCTGCCATCCAGACTAGGGACATGCGTGGTCAGGAGACGCTTTCCCAAAGTAGGCTGACATCTGAGCTGTACGTTGAAGAATGTGTGGAAATGAGCCAAAGAAAAGGAGAAAGGGATTCCAAGCATAAGCCAAGAGAAGTAGAAGGGAGCAGACCCAGAGACTGGAAAATGAAATCTGTTGATCAGTGCTGTCCAGAACTATCTGCAGTGATGGAAAATTTCTATATCTGTGCTGTCCAAAATGTCCACAAGCTACGTGTCGTTATCAAGCAAGTGAAGAACTAAATTTTAATTTTATTTCTTTTTTTAAATTTAAATTTAAATAGCCACATGTGACTAGTGGCTACTGTATCTTTTTGTAATTTTATTTTATTATGTTAATCACCACACATTACATCATTAGTTTTTGATGTAGTGTTCCATGATTCATTGTTTGCATATAACACCCAGTGCTCCATTCAATACGTGCCCTCTTTAATACCCCCTTATTGAAGTATGATTCGATGTGATTTGATGTGGGGTCTGGGAGTGAATGGTCAAGAAAAAATTCTTGAGGCATCTTCAGTGCAAAAAAGATGGTTTTATTAAAGCATAGGGATAGAATCCATGGGCAGAAAGACCTGCACTGACTGGGGTTTTTAAGGAGCTATTGGTTTTATACTTTTAAGTTGTGGGGGATAGAGACAAAGAAGTTTCCAAAAACGATTTCCTTATGTTAAAGAAGACTTACAGGATGCTGGAGGTCTGGCTGTTGTCAAGCCAAGGTTGCTTTTTGCCTTTAGCAAAGCATTAACACTAAGACAGTTGGGAGTTCCTGGAGGAATGTCATACTCTGCCTGTCCCAAGTATTTGTCAATGGGCTGCAAGTTGTAAGGAAATTTAATTTTGTCTATATCTCCTTTTGCCTTTGTTCTCCACATCATGATTGACATACAAAAAACTGTGAAGAATCAAGGTATTCAACTTGATGAGTTTGGAGATAAGTATACAACTGGGAAATCATCACCTCCAAAGGTTTGCTCCTGCCGTCTTTATTTATTATTATTCTGTGTGTGTGTGATAAGAACAGTTAACAAAAGAGCCACTCTGGCTACCGCATTAAACAGCACAGCGGCGGGTGGGGTGCGCTGCTAGATCCTCGTTTTTTCTGGTAAGTTTCATTTTCATTCTAAAGGTGGAAAGGAGGGCACCTGGGTGGCTCATTCTGTTAAGCATCTGCCTTCAGCTCAGGTCATGATCCCAGCGTCCTGGGATCGAGTCCTGTATCCGGTTCCCTGCTCCGTGGGGTGCCTGCTTCTCTCTCTCCCTCTGCCTTTTTCTCCCCCTGCTTATGCTCTCTCTCTCTCTCTCTCTCTCTCTCTGTGTGTGTGTGTGTGTGTGTGTGTGTGTCAAATAAAGAAATAAAATATTTTAAAAAATAAATAAATAAAGGTGGAAAGGAGTCACTACAAAATTTCAAAACGGAGTAATTACATGACTTGGCTTAGAAAAAAAAGATTACTTGTAAATTAAGAAGCAAAATAATTTGGCCAATTTTTAGCATGGGTTCATCTTCCATGAACTTTGACAAAAAGGAAGCATGTAAAACAAACATTGCCATAAAATTCAACTTTGGAAATGGTCTGACTGTGGAAAAGACCAATTAGCTACCTACAAACCAAGCAGTAAAAGATAACCCTCACAGAAGGAAATTGAGTAGATGGCATGAATGGACCATACCCCAGAGCCCGCATACAAATAGCCAATTAAATGCATAAAACAGGGTTCACCCCTCTAGTATTCAAAGTCCTTTCGGTGAAAATGGGATTCCCATTTTCAACAACCAAATTAGTAAAAGACCATATGTTGTTGAAAATGGGAGTCACTCTCTTAAATGTCTTTAAGAGAATGAATGTATATACATCCATACATTCTGGAGGCCAGTTTGGCAGTATTTTTAGCAAAAGACTTGAAAATGTTTAATCCCTGTCAGCCGGCTATTCTGTTTCTGGGAATTTGCCATAAAGAAGTGATTAGGGGACGTCTGGCCAACCAACTCGGTTGGTTAAGCGTCTGCCTTCGGCTCAGGTCATGATCCCAGGGTCCTGGGATCAAGTTTTGCATCCGGCTCATCAGGAAGTCTGCTTCTCCCTCTCCCTCTGCCCCTCTCCTTGCTCATTCTCTCTCTCTCTCAAATAAATAAATAAAATCTTTAAAAAAAAGTGATTAGGGATTCTTGAGAAGATTTATGCACAATGCTATCCAAGTCTGGGTTACATACAACGGTGAAAAAAATGACAACAATCTAATTGAGGTTCTCAATAGATTTATTAAATAAATTACATCTAACAACTGAGAACCACATAGACATTAAATGTCCTGTTGCATGTGAATACTTAACTGCATGGGCAAAATGTTTGGGATCTATTTTTTAGCGGAAAAAAAAATCAAATCCCTATGAGAATGTAAGCTTTCAGTTGAATAGTAAACAATTGTATGAATAGAAAAAAGTACTGAAGGATATTCACCAAAATATTAATGGTATTTATAACTTAGTTGATTTTTATTTTTTTCTTTGTTTCTCTGTATTTTATACTTTTCTACAATGAAATTCTGTGGCTTTTAAAATAGAAAAACATTTTTTTAATTGAGATTGTTAATTATGTAGGTAGTGTTCAATTATAACAGAAGTTACTTAAAGTATGTAATTGCCACACTTCTGTTATACTAGATGGAGTCATTAAAGCGGTGATAGGCATTTACCAGTCTAGACGTGTGGACCACAGAGCTTTTAAGGAGGCAAAATGACTTTGGAGTCCTTTCCAGAAACTCTTCCCTGCTGTTGGGAGCAGCAGAAGTGCTTTAATTAATTGAGATAAAATGTTTCAACCAGAGATAATTATGTATATGAAGATGATTTTGCAGCCAGATATGTGGATGGTTTATATAAATAGAAGACATTTTCCCCCTGTTAAGTTCTTCCCATTACTTTAACCCTGATGTATCTGGAAAAGAAGAGGACAGTGGCAAGGAATGCTTCTACCAGAGACTAAACAACCAGAAACTTCAGCTAATCAGAAATTCTTCTGCCTTTGACTTTTAGGAGAGAATGAAAAATCTCTAGAAAGTGACTGTAAATTAAGAATTTCTGACAACCAACTTTCAGGACATTTCTCAAGGTTTTGACAATTCAGACTAGTCTCCAGACTTTCTACATCAGTATCTGTCATTATAACTGATGAAAATAATTCCTAATGCTGAATCTGAAATTCCAGAAGGATTTTTATTATCAACTGAAACAGATTAAATTATGTTCTTTATACTCTACTTACTACACAGAAGGAAGGGAAGAAAGGAAGGAAGGAGGGAAGGAAGAAAGGAAGGGAGGGAGGAAGGGAAAAAGGGAGGGTGACTACGTATATAGACTGGGAATACTGGACCCCATCCAAGGCTCGCAGGTCAGCATCAGAGATCTGGCTTCCAAGGGCCTGGCACATCTCTGTGTAGTCTGGACAAATGTCTAGTATCCTACTCTGCCTGGTAATTCCCTGGAGGAGTAAGTGTCCTGCCACCTCCCTTCTCCTCTAGCTCATCTTGGAGGCTCATAGATCTCTCCATGACTAAGGGTGATGGCTGTGCATCAGAGGCGAACTTCATCACTGAGGGCCAGGTGGGAGGTGGGGGAGGTCCAGAAATGGCAGGGAGACCTGCTGGTTCTGTCCTTGGGAAGGGGATTGGGTTTTGCTATTTGCATATTTATACTGTATCATAGGCACCACACTTCTCCTTATTGTCTGTGTATATATTAATTATCTTGTTTATGATATTTTCCCATACCAGGGTTTGTTTATATTTTTTTCAATGTTAATTAAATTGATTTGGGGGGCACCTGGGTGGCTCAGTCGGTTAAGTGTCTGACTCTAGATATCAGCTCAGGTTTTGATCTCAGGGTTGTGAATTCAAGCCCTGCATTGGGTTCCACACTGTGCATGGAGCCTACTTAAATAAATACATATATATATTGGGGGAGGCGCACCTGGGTGGCTCAGTCAGTTAAGCATCTGACTCTTGATTTCAGCTCAGGTCATGATCCCAGGGTCAGTAGACTGAGCCCTGTATTGGGCTCTGCGCTGGGCATGGAGCCTGCTTAAGATTCTCTCTTTCCCTCTCCCCCTGCCATGTGTGCTCTCTCTCTCTCTCTCTAAAAAAAAAAGTGCCTGATAAGGCTGATGACATGCCATTCTTTAAAAAACAAATTGATTTGGGTAATTTTTCTTAAAAAAGAAAAGGCATTTCCTGTCTTTCCCATTCCTCCTCTCCTATGAGTCAAGCCTCATACTTACTGTCACAGCAGGAGCCTTTCTCTGCTCCTGAATCTCCCTCGATACTCTCCTGGGACTCGCAGATGAACTGTCTAGGCAACTCTACTCACACATTTCACTTCCAGTTGTGTTTAGTGACAGGACTGATTTCTGTTTTGACATTTGGAAACTTCATTAGTTAGCGATGATTTCTTCATCTCCTCTGGTTCTGGCAGATCCTTAGAGGAAGAGAAAGCCATCTTCTATTTTTAAGGTGACCTTGGGTGGGTAATGGGGTTTAGACCTAGAAGAAGAGATGCAAGTTAGTCAATGACAGGCAATGGCAACTAGAGGTCCTGGAAGACTGTTCTGACGGTTACTGTTCCGTGACCACACCAGTGTGGGGCAGGACTGGGTGTTTTGTAGGTCTCAGTATGAAAGGGAGAAGGACAGTATGAAAGGCCTGTAAAGAAACAGATCTACTTATATTAATATGTATTTTAAGCAGATGCTGAGACAGAGGCAGTGGCAAGGAATGCTTCTACCAGAGACTAAACAACCAGAAACTTCAGCTAATCAGAAATTCTTCTGCCTTTGACTTTTAGGAGAAAATGAAAAATCTCTAGAAAGTGACTGTGAATTAAGAATGATATGATAATGATAAGAATAAAAATGAATGAGCGATTTCACGATTTTGAGAGCTCAACTTAGTAAGTCTAATCCTGCCTCAGGGGGCAGCAGGACTCATCTGTTGCCCCCTCCCCCTTCTCCTGTGGCTATAATTAGATACCTTGGAGAATTCAAATGTACAGTGTATAATATTAATTTAAGCTCCACAAAAGCCAAACTTGCCTGTATCCCCAAGGCCTACTGCTTAGCACATAGTTGATGTTCAATAATTATTTGTTGAATGGGATGAATGAGTGAATGTGAATAATTTATGTGATCCCTCCTACCTTTTATTGTTTCCTAACAATAAAAGCCTGTGGCCTGATGGAGCCTCCTGCTTCTGCGCAGCGCCCTCTGTCTGTACGGGAAGGCAGGTGCAGTTCTGTGCGGTTCTCCGAGCCCAGTCCCAGGCGGAGCATCTGTCAGGCAAAGTGATGGCAAGGGAGCTGGGGGTGCTTCGGCCCCAGATTCCTTTCTGGAGGTGAGGAAAAGCAAGCTCTGCAAGGAGGAAGGCAAACCTCCACGTGGAGGCTAAGAAGCTTCACCACATCCCCAGCCTCTTAAATGAGGTGCATTCTAGTATGGTGTACCCTCTCCCCTCACTTCTGAACCCCAAATAAGGGACACGCAGCATGATATCACTCTTTCTTCTCCGGAATAAGGTAAACCCAAGTGTGACCTCATCCCCTGACTCTCAAATAAAGAAAGCTCATCAATGACTTCAACTCCTTTTCCCTAAAATGTCAAGCTCAAGCATGCATGACCTCCCCTCAAATCCAGCATGATGTCATTCCCACCCCCATGCCTCTCTTCCACCCTCCTGCTGGCTGACACATTTCCACCCGGACAGCTTCTTAGAAGTGGCTCTGCCCAGAGGTGTGGGCGTCTGGCTGGACGCTGCTTCCTGCCAGCCACAGGGCAAGCCCACCGTCTGAAAGGCAGCTCCCAGTCAGTGGGGAGTCACATCACCATGACTCAGCGTGCTGTGGCAGATGAGAATTTTACTCAAGGCTCAACATTAAATAAGGAGTTTTTAGGCAAGTCTGGAGGGCAAGCAGAGCCAAC